AGGGGCTTTCTCCTCTTATAGTCATGTTTCTAGTGTTCAGATAGTACTTGGAGAACCTGCAAGTACCTACAAGTAAACATTCTGTGAGTAAAAGAGTTGAGTAGAAAAAAAAGTTCTGCTTTTTCTTTTTTGTGTTTGGTGGCAGTTAACATTGTCAGTTCTGGGGATATGTTGTACTATTACCTTTTTTATTAATAATTCAGTTCTTGTGTACCAGTCTGACACCATCCTGTTGTCTATTTCCAAGGAGTGACTGCTTTTTATTCTGTACTAGAAGCCCATCAAAAGGGTATTTTGATGGAGCAGCCAAATTAATCTGAAACTGAAGAAATAGGTGGCAAGTGTTTAATGTGAGACAAAAAGCAGGACTACTTATTCTGGTGATTCTGGGTTCCAGAAAAATACTTGCTAAGCACTAGAAGCCATTAGTGTCATTTTTTTATGACAGATTTTATTGTAATGTCTATCACAATGATTTTCTGGGTTAGATATTAGCACTACCTGATTAAATTAATAAATCAAAATCTCTTTAGATTTCAAGATAATTACTATTTTATCTGATTAGTGGAACTGGTAATAGCTTCTCTTTGGAGAAGAAAAGTTGCTCATAGAGGAGCATAGCTAACAAAACCTACTGGTGTGATTATTTTTTTTTTCCCCATGTTCCCTCCTTCCTGACTTCAGTAAACAGTCTCATGTGTCAGTTTTCTTAACATTCTCCATGTAGGAGAGATTTTCATAATCCCCTCAGACTGATTTACAAGTCTGTTAGACCCAGTTCAGCACTATGCTTTGGCTTTTCCCAGTCTAGACTGTATTTAATTTTTTTGCTGGTCAAAAAGCAGCGTCTTTGCAATGGTGAACTTTGATCTATATGCATGATGGCAAATCATAGAACCAGTCAGCTTCTCTTGTCTGTTGTGAGCAGAACAGAAAGGATGAGCTCTCGCCTTCTTCAGGGAGGTGCTAACAGTCTACCTTCTCTGACTTGCTGCTGCTTTTTCACAAGGTTTGTACAAACACAGTATTATTGAGATCTTTATTATTTCAGTATAATTGATAGCTGTTAAGTATTCAAAAGATATAAGGAAAGACTAGAAAGCAAGATTTTAAGTTCAGTTTCTGTAGAAATCTAGGCTTAAAAAACCCTTTTTCTGATTAACTAGAAGTGGAAGAAGTAGACACTTTAAGGAAAGAAAGAAAAGTAACTTTTAAATAAAAAACTTTTTTAAAAGTTGTTGAGGAAAATGTGGGGGGAGTGTTTTTCTTACAGTTAATTAAAATTGATTTATGAGAAGCATAAATTTTTGTGTAGGGTACACAGCTTGAAGATGGACATAATGATGATCTTACAGCTCTTGATGAGAAAGCTCTCCTGCAACAGTGCTATACAAGCAAGCCTTATAATATGCAACACAGTACAAGGAAATCGGAATCCGTAAGTGTTTTGGCTGGTATTATGCTGGTAACTGTCTAGACTTGTAGAATGACTTCCCAGATGTTAACTGAAGTTAAGTCTTTTGTGATTTGGTCCTAGTATGTAATTGCACCCGTTGAAATCATGGGAGTTTAAACATTTGTTTCAATGGGAGCCGAACTGAGCAATTCAGTGAACATTTTTTTTTTTAATCTTATCTGCAATGCTTGTATTTTATGCAGTAATGTATATAAATTAGAATGCAAATTGTGAACGATAAATATATACATACAACTAAGATTAACTGTGAGTTGAGTGAACCTAAGTAGTGTTACATTTTCTCTGATCTGTAGCTTGTACTGAGCCTGTATTCCATGATCCATGGATTCCATCAGCTCTTACTCTGACTTATTTCTAGAGTAAACAGGCTGTGTTCCCTCATTAACTCCTGAAATGGAGGATGTGGTGAGAACTGGCTTTGTAAGCTCTATGGGCTCTGCTGCTGATGTTAGACTGGGTCAGCCATGGCTTTGGATGGAAACTCCAAGGATGGAGTTTCTAAAATATCTCTAGGCAACATCTTCCTGTGATACGCTACTTTCCTTGTGAAGAAGTTCTTCCTGTTTATTATCCATATAAGCCTCCCAAGGCTCAGTGTGTAACCTTTGCCTCCTGTTACACTGCCAGTGTCAAAACCCGTTTGGTTCTGTGTTCTTTGTAGCTTCCCTTTGGTTGTAGATGTTTTTTCAGAGTGTCTCATAGTTGCTGCTTCTGCAAACTAAACTAACCCAAGCTCCCTTAGCCTTTCCTTTCAGTTGCTTTGGCTCTGATTGTCCATCAGATCCTTTCCAGGTTCTTCTTACCCTATTGATCTTTGGAAGAAGGGAGCCCTGAAAACTGGAACCAAGTATGGCCTCACTTGGCTGCGTAGAGGGGATTTAGAACTTAAATGGGCATACCCAATATATTTGTTTAATTTCTTACATAGATATGGTTTTTTTTATTCTTTTTAGGACTGGACAATAGGAGTCCTACACATTTAAGGCTACGTTTTGAATTTCGGATTATTTACAATGATGAACAACCTTGAGATTTGATATTGCATGATTCAGTATTTGCATATGCAGTGATAGCTTTTATAACTGGTTTTTGAAGGTATAGCTGAACACAGCATTCTAAGTTTCTCATGGAATACTAAGCCATGAGAAATTTTATGAGATTGTTGAAGTAAATAATAATTTTTATTTATTTTGTTTGCTCATCACTATGCACTGCATTTTGCATCAGTGCAAGCATTTATTTGATTTCTAGTCTTGTCAAAGTGAATGCGGATGTTGCACTACTGAGGTCACAATTCATTTTCATGATTAAAAAAATCTTTTCAGAAAGCACTTTTATGAAGAACTTGTGGAACCTTGTGTTTGTTACTTTTAGAATAAATTTAAAAATTGAAACTATAGGGTGAAGATAATGGAAAAAAGTTCTGAAGTATCATTAGAGTAGCTACTTACTGTTAAACCAAAAAAGCTGAAAACATTGAGAAAGGGAGCAGCACGGGACCACAACAGGTACACTGCAGCTGGATGCTTTAGAAGGAAGGCAGCAGGTATCTGAGTAAGATGTCACTTGGACCTTGAGAGGCCCTTATGTTACTGATTAGCACTCATGGTTGCACAAGCTGTCTATCTCTTTCTAGGAGCATCTCTTAGGTTCTCTGAGGTTCAAGCTTCTGATAGTGGTAGGAATAGTGGAGAAAATCAGAAGTAGTAACTGCATACATATTAATTCAATTGTATTCCTTTTGTAAGAATACACAATGTTAAAATTTCTTTTTACTGTAATCGTTGCAGAAAACTCTAATGTTGAAGTAAAATGTCTCAAGTTTTCTGTAGTTCGGGATGAAAGTTCTCTTTATTCAAGACTGATTATAGTACAAGTATCATTGCCAATAGGTGCTGTAGGTGCTACATATAATAAAAGTAAGTTTTGGGGGAAGAAGGTTGGTTTTCTCTGAATAATTGTATTTTGTGAACAAGAGGTACTGCTTTTTAACCAGTGAGAGCTGCTGCAAGATCAGTGTTTACCTCAGCAATATTGTAAGTTCACAGTAGAGCTTTTGTCTACGAGCTGAATGGAAGATGCTCCATGGACGAGTACATCCAGTGAGCTAGAATTCAACTGAAAATCAAGGTGTAAGGTTTCCTGTTTTTTAAAATGCAGATTCTTTTCAGCATGCTAGCATGTTTGTCTCTGTAAGTCAAGGTCCGTGGCATATGTTGTGTTTTAACAAACATTGCTTTGTATTATCACTGTGTCATCCTTGACATAATGCTTTTTAAAACATCTATTGTGACAGTTGATGGGCAAAGATTCAGTAACTCAGAATAAAGAACCCTGTGGTTCTAATAGATACAAAAATTAAATGTGAAAGCAAACTAAAAAGCCTCCTATCTCTTTTAATTCAGAAATCTTTTAAGGATTAAAATAAGTTTGGAATAAACACCAACTAGTCTGGTGTTACATTATTAATATGGAGGTTTTGGTTTAGTTTTTGTTTGTTTCTTTCCATAGTGCCAATCAGTATTTACTTGAAGGTTGTGAGTTATGCCCAAAACACCTCTGTAGAATTAGAGATTATTCCTTACAGTTACTTGGCGTCTTGGAACCAACTTCCAATTCTTCAGGTGTCAGAAGGCTTGATCTATCTAGAATTCGGTTAGCACATAAGAACTGTGTGAAAAAAATAACCGATCAGAAAAATATCTTAGTTCTTCAGTTTCAGAATACCTACAGAGTTGTCAAAAAGGTTGCATAAACCCCCACGGTAATAATATCTCTGTATTCTCATATATACAAATTATTTTTTTTTTTAAAGAGGCATATTTAAGTGCAGTGAAAAAGTTCAGAATTCTGGAAGATAAAATGAAGAGAGATGCTGGGCCCTGGTGGTTGCCAGTGGCCTCCATGCTGTCCTGGACCCACACTTTGGTTTCTCTTCCTGTGAAACAAATTATGATCAATGCCTGAGCACATTACAGGGAATGACAAATAGTTATGGTTTGGTGTTACTCTAATAAAAATAATAAGATCATGTTAAATCCCTTTCCCCTTAGGATTGGCCTGTCTCAGCAGAAAGTTATTGTGGCATGCAGCAAATAAAAAATGTGCCTTGAGACTAAGTTTTAAAAGAATTTTTTAACTAAGTATTGCTGGAGGTAAAGTTTTATTCTCTGAGTCGGAAATTGTATCAACCATGAAACCTGGAATAGTGTGAGTTTCCTCATGCTCTATTGTACTTACAGAGTTTACTGGAAACAGTGCAGAGATAAGGATGCTGTCTGTCAGCAGAAATACTAGAGTTCTTGTATTTAGTGAAAACTAAATATGCACAGACAATTTGAGTGGGTAGCAGAGAATATTATTTGTCTGTTATGCAAATAAAACTTAAAAATATGGGGAAAAAGATTAATTGTGATATTGGTTAAAACTGTGACCTCTGAATGCTGTCTTAAAAAGTAATTCGTTATTTGATTTGTCTGGTGTAATATATTTCACTTGCTCTCATTTGCAGGAGGATGTTGCTGCAGAGAGGAGAAAACAGGCTGTGGTAGAACAAGTGATGGTGGATCAGTTATCTAGGTAAGTGAATTTATAATGAAATATTTTAGTTTTCCCTGCAGAAGAATTTGTATCTGTGTGGATTTTTTTGCGTAAGAGGTGTTTTGATCATCTTGTTCAAAGTCTTATGCACTCTATGTAGTGTTATTTGCAAAAATTCTTTAAGTGAAAGGTCTTTTTAATTTAACTTAAAATATCAGTTTAAAGTGCTATGTGTAAGTTTTTTTTTTTTTCCCCTGAATATAGCTTTTACTTTTATACCTGAATCTAGTTAAAGGGCTTTACAATAGCACTAGTTCTCAGCAATAACCCTCTTGCACCTCTGCAAAATATATGGATGCCTGCTGTTACAAATTACGCTTCTTCAGTATTTCTTGCCTTCTCTAAAAATCTTAGCTTTATTAATATTTCATTATTAATATCAACACAACATCACTGAGGCATAAAGGACTATTACACCAATGTTGAGAAGGTAGGGAAAAAAGGCACAATGATGGATCAAGTTGATCAAGGTTGCGTAGGAAGGCTCTCTTAACTTCATTGCTGTGCCTGTAGCTCCAATAAAACATTGCTTCCATGTATAAAGATCCCTTTATATGTTAAGGAGAAAAAAAAGTAACTTAGAAGTAAAGATGAGTATAATAAAAACATCTTTATTATCTTTAGTATTATTATTATTCTCATAAACTTGTTCACATTTTTTAAGCATGCTTTAGCAATTCAGGGCTTTATCCAGGTTGTCTGGTTACAGCAATATAGGATGGTGCAAGCTAGTTTAATACAGTTTCATGTTACCTTACCCTTGGTAAAAATTATCTGTGGGTAGGTCTACAGTATGTTGCATTCTGTGGTTAGTTTGCATTTGTACTGATGTTATAGCCCATCAGATATTAAGACTTCAAGGTTGAAATATTGTTGCACTTCAGCATTTTGTTTCTTTGTTACTGCATTCCCACTGCAGTTTAAATGACCTGTGTTGTTTAAAAGTCTGTTGATGCTTTTACACTGTTTAAAAGCTGAGATATGAAGAAAGCTGCCTGAAGAAACAAGATTGTCATGAAACACAATGTTAAATTCCAAGTGACAATGTAGTAGGATTTAAAATATGGAAATGTTCAGTGCAGAAATACCCAATTTTCAAAGAAATGCTTGTTCCATATCATATCTCTACAAAGGTATAGGTAAAATAGATAATTACAGAGATTATCTTAAAAATGTGCTGGTTGTGTTGAAGTGTTTCAGTCCTTCTGATGTTGGATTAAACATACCAGTTTGTGTATCTTGTATCGTGGATGTTCATTTTGTGCTTAACCTCCTTCAGCTGCTTTGCCTTATTTTTTCCCATGCAGCATTCCTTCTCCTATTCTGAACCTTTCTCCTGTCAATGTCAAAACAATATTCAGGAGTGCTGCAGCTGCATCAGGATGAACTTTTAATTTAAAAAACCTCTCTGTTTATGTTCCAAATATAACTGTGCCAGTACTGCCAAACAAATTGGTATCAGAGAGCAGGATGTTAATCGGAGAAGATTAGTTCAAAACTGTTGCATGAAAAAAATCTATTAAAGGAAACACAAAGGTGTTTTTATTTTTTTTCCTTTTTTTTTTTTTTTTTGTTAATAGAGCCAATGTCACAGTTAAATCAGTGTATCTGATGTGTGCAGAGATGGATCTCTGTAGATCAGAGAGCAAGTTTATAAAACTATGTTAGCAGTGCAAAATTGTTATTTCCTTCTGATTATGAACTATTTCAATAAAGAAATATAAGAATCTAATTTCTTTTTAAAGGATGTCTTCTTTTGTTAACTTATTAAACTGATACAGAGAATATCAAAGTACTCAGAAACCAATGAATCTGTTTATTTTCTGCTCAGTGGGAGTTTGAGATCCTGTGAGCAGTACTTTGCGAGAAGAAGTGCCAATATTTTCGTTGGGTGATGTCACTGGCCAGTACGAGTAATCTGGTGCCAGACAAAATCTGCTGTCACAGATTTTGGAGGGAGACATGGATAAAGAATGTCACTGGTGGAATATTTACAGAAACAGTGGAAGTGAGAAAAAAAACACCTTCTGTAATCCTAAGATTTATTTTTCTATATACCTATCTAAAATATACTTAAAATAATGCATGTATCCATGTGAAGTTATTACATAGAATATTATTGCATATAATCAATTTTGAGTAATAGACCTCAGAACTGGGAAAAACAAACAAAAAATAAGCCCACAAATTTATGCAAGCTTAATGGATAACTCCCAAGATTTTATTGCTGTGTTATTCTTCTGTTTTGTTTTTTTTTTGCTTTCTTGAATGAGAATATGTAAGATCTGAAATTCAAACTTACTAATAGTCAGAGGGCTTCTCCCTGCTTTTTCTTGTTAGAGCTGTTATAAGTGATCCAGAGCAGTCCATGCCTGCTGATGTTTATAAGGAAGCTCGAGAACGTCTTCAACCTGGGACAGCACCAATGCGTCTTAGAAAAAGAACGCTGCATGAAACAAAGTACATTTTCTCTAGCAAAATACATTTCCTGCTGTAGTTTTTACTGGTTTGGGCTCTACAAAGTCTGTTTGCCTCTCTGGATGTTTTATTTCTGGCTTGGATACACCAGTGAGGCCTTTTTTGTAGCCTCCCTGTGCTTATAATTGCCTAGTGGGACCTTTTTGTATGGATACTCAGTGTATAATGGTTGATTCACAGGGTTTATAAAACCTGGGAGAACATTCTTAAGCTTATGTTGATATTGTTCATCACAGGATTTTGCCAGCCTTTTCTGAGCAGTTGAATGCTTGCAATCCTGTCATATCCTTTTACAGATTCCTTTCCTGAGGTGCATAAAATTGCATAAATATGCATCCGTAATGCTAATGTAGATCTTCACAATGTAATCATACTTTTCTTTCATGTTTTGATTTTTTGCCACCATGATTAACTATACTGATGCTTAAATGTCATTCCTGGCCTGTGAGAATTGAAACAGTAACTCTAAGGGCTTAAGAAAAAACGAGGAAACACTGTGATCCTTAAGATGAAGGGAATCTGCAGGTGTGAGTTTTGTTGTGTTAATCCTTCTCAACATGCAGGCAAACACTTCTGCTTTGTACATTTTAGCATCCTGCTCTGAAGTCTTTCTCAATAAACATCATCTTTGTATTCTTAAAAAAAAAAAAAAGGGCAGCAATAAAACCAGTTTCAATCTCTTGCATCCATCACATGGACAAATCTCCGTGTCTGGAACTAGTCATATGTCCAATATAAAATATCTAGATGGGTAAAGCAGCCCAACCTGGGTATTTATGCAAAAAAACATTGATTCATGGAAGTATGCTGAGTGGCAAAAGTTTAATTCTTTATATAAGTGTGCGTAAACAAAATACCCCATTCATATCTGTGCCTTCTGTGAATGTACTCTTCATAATATATAATTACAGAACACCTTCCACGTTACAAGTCTGAATTACTTTCTAATTCAACTATGCAAGATCATCTCAGCCAGTTGCCAAGGATACTGCATTTCACATTTTTTGCTGTTTTGAAACAGTTGCTTTTTATGTAAGGTTTCTCTGTGAGCATATAGGTATCATTAACATGCTGCATTATTTTCACAGAATACGGACCAAATCAGGATTAACTGAAAACATGCTCTCTAACAAGTTACGCTTTGATAGTAGGATTATATCGAGGTAATCACAAATTCTATGAAGCTTTTTAATTCTATGATTTTATGAATGACGGTCTTTACTCTCCTGAACTAATCAATTGCTCCAAATGTTTCTGTTCTCTATGTTTAGGAAAAAGTACGTGCTGTGTGGGGGGGTGTGTGTGTGTGTATATATGCATAAATGTATAATACAAATTTTGACATGGGTGGTGCGTAGTGGCTTTACAGTCCTGTTGTACAATGTTGAGATGCGTAAGTAATGTTACATTACCATCATACCCATACCTCCATGTAGGACAGTTAGCACAGAGGCTGTTTAAAATAGTGCTCTTAGCTGTTGTGCCTCAGTTGATGAAAAATTATTTTAGCCTGTGCTTGAAGCCCAGCTGGTAACTCAGCACCACACAGCTGTTCACTCACACCTCTTTTCTCCCCACTGCCCTGGGTGATATGGGGATGAGAATCGAAAGAATGTAAACCCCATGGGTTGAGATAAGAACAGTCCAATAACTAAAGTACAATATACTACTACTAATAGTGATAAGAGAAATAACAAGGGGAGAGAATATAAAACTAAAAGGGCAAAGGACAAAACCAGTAAACACAAGTGATGCACAATACAATTGCTCACCACCTGTGGACCAATACCCAGCCTGACCCAAGCAGTAAGCTTGGCCTTCTGGGTAACTCCCCCCAAGTTTATATACTGGGCATGATGTGCTGTGGTATGGAATACCTGTTTGGCTAGTTTGGGTTAGGTGTCCTGTCTCTGCTTCCTCCCCTCACTGGCAAAAACATGAGAGACTGAAAAATTCTTTATCAGGGTAAGGACTACTTAGCAACAAGTAAAATGTCAGTATATTATCAGCCTTGTTCTCAGACCAAAGCCAAAACACAGCACTAGGAAGAAAATTAAATTAGTAGTACCAGCTACTAGAAAGAAAATTATCTCAGTCAAAACCAGGGCATAGCCTTGTCTGAGTTTGTGGCAACTGCTGTGAATGGAAAACATGGCTTTGTGTCTTGTTTGTAGCTCCTTATGTATTAAACTTGCAGGCTTAGGGCATCTCTGAAAGTGCCCTGAGTTGAGTAGCAGTGGCATAAACATTCTTCAGCTCTGAAAGTGGCATTTTTCTGAAGAAGTGAGCTGTAATAGCGGTTAGACATAGCTGGGGATTCAGCCACATAGCTTCATATACTGCAGTAAACGCAGTAGTCCTGGTGTAAGTAATCCTTTAGTTAACAAGTGAAAATTACATTGGTATATTAAAACATGAAGCCTTGAAAGGTGTTTTTAACATTATGGAGAATGGCATATTGCGTTAAAAAATGTCTCCAAATCCAGAAGTTGAAGTCAATGGTGTGTTAGGGAAAATAGCCAGATACCTCTTTCAAAGAAAAATATTTTGCAATATGCAACATTGGGAATGAAATTCACATTTCAAAGCAAATGTTTTTTTTGTTTGGGTTGAATTGGATTTGTATAGATGCAAAAACGTTAAAGGCGTTTTTCAATTTTCCTTCTAGAAATGGTCGCGATGCTTGTAGACAGTTGATTGGATTTTTTTTTGCATGTGACAGATCCCTTACTGTGTATGAATTTCGGCAATTTGGAAAAAATAGGTAGGATAAATTGCACTTTCATTTTTTTAAAAAAAAGGCTTTAGAAAACATTTTCACCTGTATCTAAGAAACTTAAATAACTTTAATTGCTTTAATAGCAGTTTTGAATTATTTCACAGAACAAATGCCTTGCCTTTCATTCAGAAGGGAGTTTATCAACATCAGCGTGGACAAAAGAAGGAAAAAGCTTATGATCTTAGTGACTTCTATATTGTAAGTGTTCTGCTGAATATAAGGCAACTTGATTGGTGATTTGACAGTAGTATTTAGATATTCGAGTTGAAAATTGTGATCTGAGTTTCAGGGAAGACCAAAAGTCTTTCCCCTTGGTTGCATTTGCAAATTAAAGATTTTCAGGGGTCTGGATTATTTTGCTGTCCCACGTTTTAGACATGCCATTTTTGGTTTGAGATAAAGCTGTAGTTTGCAATTTTCCCACTAGAGGGTGTAAGACTGCAGACAGTGGAGTCCTTTTGTGGGAAAACTGAACAACTCTGGAAGGAGAGAGTCCTGAAGATGAAGTAGACCAAAGTACTTGTTAAAAATTAGTAATCTTTACAAGGTTTGCTGGCGTTTTTGACACGAGGCAATGATGAAATATTTTTTAATCATGAGGAAATTGAAGGTTGTTTTTAACCTAAAGTTTGAAAATGTGTAGAGAAAGCTTTTGAAACAATGGTAAACGTGATCTACCAGCTAGTCTAATGGTTCAGTACAAATCATACTGCATCTTCTCTACTGATGTACTTCTGCAGTGGGTTACGTGCTCCTGATTTATAAGTATTTGAGCAATTTTTCAAGTACAGAGTGTTTCCACTGAGTTCTTCACATCCTCCTGCAAATCTTAAGTTTAGTGCAAAACCTGTTTTTGAAGTATTGAAAATAAAAGAAGACAACATTACTTTTTAGAGTGTTTAGACTAATCACCTGTCTAATCCTAACTATTTATATGTGCCTAAGACATAAGAGTTTCCGAAATGTAATAGATTACTTTCTTTACGGTATGGAGGTTGAAGCTATTTTTTAAATGTTTAAGGGGTTTTTAGAGTTTATTTATTGTCATGTGTATCTTTGCAACCTGCACATAGAAATGTGCAGGTTCTGAATAAAGCTGTGTCTTAAAGCTATTAAGAAAATGTATTGTGACTGAGTTTGATAGTTCTTTGGGCTGATGTTTTACCTCTGAATGTCCATATCTGCAAACTGGGGTTCTGGGCTGACGTTAAGATGTACAAATGTCTCACAAAGTGGAAATGGCTGAAACACTTGCACAATAACTGTGTCTCTATTTCCTTCCCATTTATAAGTTTTGCAGGCTTCATAATGCAATCCTGAATTGATATTATAGTTACACCTATTGCTTTTCTTTTTTCTTTCAGTCTTCTCAGCATTTTTTGCTTTTAGTTTGCTGCTTTTCTTTTTTCTTTTGGTCTTCTCAGCATTTTTTGCTTTTAGTTTGCTGCTTTTCTTTATCTCTCCTTCCCTCTTCTTCCAAACCAAAATGCATCTTTAACTTCACAGAATGTGTGAGGTGTGTGCTCAAGAGAGAAGAGGAATTTTTGATACTGAGACTATACTGGGTAATAGAACTATATGCTACTAATTACATATTTGTGTTCAGTATTTATTAGTGAAATACAACAATTTTGAAGATAACTTTATAGTTAAGCATTGCAGGAGTTACTTCAATTTTGGGAAGGCTACTTTTCAGTTGTTTAACTCAAGTATGATTTTAGATTATTGAAAGTAACTGTGGAGGGTTTCTTCTAGTCTGAGGGAATTTTATTCTTGTGGAGTCAGTGTGGCACCTTCTGTGACTCTCTTCTGTGGTCCAGTGAGATCCCATAAGGATGAAGGGAGAAGAAAAATTGGAAAGTAGAGCCCAGCTGAGGAAACAGTCTTGTGTTTGTCAGCTGTAGATTAGGCAACAGTAGGCCCTCTTGCTAGACAAACCGGTATCTAGAGAATAATGTGTCATATTGGAGCCTGCAGCTGTTTTTATTTAGTACTAGAAAAGCTCTTTTAAAAAGGTTAACTGACCTTAGCTACACCTTTTCATCATTTCATACCAAGGCTTTTAACAATCACTTGGAAGTCTTGCAGAATGTATTTTATAAAATACACAATCTATCTGTAAATCACTGTATGCTTTACCAACAGGGAGCTAACCTAACTTTCCGAAGTGCTGATCATAACCTTCCAGAAAGTGTTAAGCAGAACCCAGTTCTCACCCTTCGTGTCATAAGTATTGATGAAGCAGCTATGGATTCTCTAAAGTAAGTGCAGCTGTTTTTCAAATTACCTTTCCTTCTTTAAGCAAAAAACATTTTTTAAAATAAGAGCTTCTAATATCTTACTAGTCATATTGCTAAAGAAAAATATATTTAGGCTGTTGTTAGGGACATTAGTAATATATGAATGTTTTGTAATTCAGTCACTTTCTAGAATGATGAGTAATTTTAAAATAAGAGTTATGAAACTGTCTTGCTTTGAAGTCAGATGTTTATATATGCAAATACTGAAACTTATGTGAGGAACTAAAATTCCATGTTTGGGAGAAAATGCTTTTTTTGTCATCAACAATATTATTATTGAATCTTTTGTGAAGCTTATGTTAAAAGCTTGTATCACTCATAGAATCATAGAATGATTTTGGTTGGAAGGGTCCTTAAAGATCATCTAGTTCCAACCTCCCTGCTGGGGGGAGGGACTCCTCCCACTAGACCAAGTTGCTCAAAGCCCCGTCCAACCTGGCCTTGAACACTGCCAGGGATAGGACAGCCACAGCTTCTCTGGGCAACCTGTGCAATTTCTTCCTTACATCTAACCTAAGTCTCCCATCTTTCAGTTTAAAGCCATTCTCCCTTATACTGTCACTACATGCCCTTGTAAAAAGTCCCTCTCCAGATTTCTTGTATGCCCTCTTTAGGTACTCAAAGGCCTCCCAAGGCTGAAAAAGCCCAGCTATCTAAGCCTCTTCATAGAAGAGGTGCAATAGGCCTTTTATAATAACACAAGTGTGTGAACACAGGCAGGGGAAGGATTGGAGGTTTTGCTTTTTAGTTTTTATTTTTCACTTTCTTTTTCCTCCTTCCTAACCTTTCATTTTTCCAGAACCACATTTGCCACATGTTGTGCCTGAAGAGGCACCAAGACAGGATTTCTGCACTTACTCTTTCAAAATAGGTTTTAGTAAATTATGTTGTTCCATAGTCTGAAAGATGGAAGTCTCTTAAATAATTTCCACATGATTAGGTGAATGGTTAACTTTGAGTATGTGCTAGTTCTGAAGGTATTTTTCTCATTACAATGTGTATGCTAAGGTAAACTGTCTAGAAAATGAAGTGTCTTTCTCTGGGGTTTCTGGTTTTTACTGTGAGTGTGCTGGTTCGTAGCACAAATAAAATTTCAGTATAAAATTTGTCAAACTGCTGTGTTGCCTGAACATGACAGTTACTTAACAGTGTTGGAAATACAGTCAGAGCTTAATTTGAGACTACTCAAATTTTAGTGAGGAGTGTTAGCCAATAGCAGGCTATAGCTAGCCAATAGTAGTGTTACAAGGCAGAAATTTTCATAAAATCATGGAATTGTAGAAAGGGACCTCAAGAGGGGCATCTAGTCCAACCCCCCTGCTTAGAGCAGGGTTTACTACAGCAGGTTGCTCAGGGCTGCATTCAGTTTTGTTTTTAAATATCTCCAAGGACGGAGACTCTGCAACCTGTGTGGGCAACATATTCCAGTGTTAATCACCCTTGCAGTCCAAAAGTGTTTCCTGATGTTTAGAGGGAACCACTTGTGTCTCAGTTTGTGTCCATTGCCTCTGGTCCTGTCACTATGCTCCACTGAGCAGAGCCCTTCTCAATAGTCTTTACTCCCTCCTCCCAGGTATTTATACACTAAGATCCCTCGAGCTTTCTTTTCTCCACGCTAAACAGTTCTGGCTCTCCCAGGCTCTCCTCATATACCATATGCTTCAATCCCTTCTTGACTAGGAACAGCAATAACAGAATCTCAGTTAAATACATTCAGTATCTACTTTTGTAGATAGACTACTTCTGTTAGCACAACTTAACTGTTACTTTTGTTTCTGCAAGTGTTCAGACACATGAAGCTTATTCTCAATTATGATAACATTCACTTTAAGATCCCTTTACACTGAAAGATTTGCAAAGGAGCCATAGTCAGCTAGCAGTACATAAAGCAGTAAATTCAAATGTAATTGGTTATAGAAATATTTAGTTGTATGATGCGTAGTGCTAATTGTTCCCTCTATGCAAGGTTTCCACAAAATAAAACACAATATAATTTAATTTCAGATGGTTTATGTAAGACATTTTACATCTCAGAAGTCTGTCATTCTGGTAAACAGCTTTTTCTTTCGTTTGTTGCTAATCTTATACCTGTGAAATTTGAAATTGATCCAGTATTATCTCTGAAGGCTCCAGGAAGAAGACCGGCTTACTGGTCTTTTTGGATTTTTCTGCTACCTATGGTGGAACAGATTGATTGTTTGTTTGTTTGTTTGTTTGTTTTTATAGTTGCTCTCTGTGTTCTTTTCATTAGTGACTAAATTTCAGACTGTGAAGTCTGTCTTTTTCTTCTGAATGGGGGTGTTATTGAACTTTGTATTCTATGGTGCATAACTTTTGAGTCCTGTTATCTCCAGTACTGTACTCGCAGAGAATCCTGCTCAGGTACATTCTGGAAGGTCAGTTCTAGGCTTTCAGAAACACCTGTGCCATGCTGTCACAAGCCATGAATCTTCTGGTTCACATGTGTTTTACAGAGAGTACACTGTCCTTCAGGGTGGTTGCTGACTTTCCAGTTTAGGTGGTTTGATATAGGAAACTTTAGGGACTTCATACCCAAAGGGGAGATGAAAAGTCTTAATAGACAAGAGGGAGGTAAGTCTTTGGCCTCAGAAAGCAGAAGGGAGGAGTAGTCCATGGCAAGGCACTGATGAGCAAGCAGCTCAAAGGTGACAGTTGTTCTTTTCCATTTGGCTTCCTATTCTGATTAAAACAATTATAAGACTTTCTTCTTTTTAATTTTGTTCTTCCACAATTTTGATTTGTTCTTCCACAATGATGATTTTTTTCATTAACCTTTACAATAATTTCTGTTGGGGGCTTCAGGGAAACCCATCTCAGTAGGGGACTTGCCAGCAAAACACAAAATTTAACCATAATTCCTAGGTCACACCTAAAATACACTAATCTAGCTTTTGGTTGCCACCCTTGCTACGTATTTTCTGAAGAGAGATTGTAGCTACTTTATATCATTTAGTTACCAACAGGAAAATATAGTTGCTTTAACAAACCCTTCCAGCAGTCTGAGCTGAAGAGGAGGGCTGTGTTGAAGTAAATTTCTGGAGATTTTAGACACAGAAGGAATTATCCATGATTAATGAAATAGTAGAAGAGCTGTGAATGGAATATTGTCAGAAAGGAATTTCTGCATATCTGCAGCTATTCAGCAAGGACTTTTGTGTGTGCCCTCTCAAACTCGAGGAATTGGATCCTATGCTTATATTTAATTCTTAAACTACCTATATAATATTCAGTATGTGTTTTAATACAACTGTTTTGAATTCAGTAATATTACATATAATTTCACCAATCTATGTTAATTTTTATCATTTTAGAGCTTCTATGGAATTAAAGGAAGAGTGTTCTCTGCAAGTGGTTGATGACAGCAAAGTTCTCAAGAAGATTCAAGGTTTGTGTCTACCAGAACCCATTTGATTTTAACTTCTGTATCTCTATCTTTACAGCTCAATGCAAAGAACATTAGTGACATTATAAAGATTTAGATATTTAACAGAATATTGCTAGAATCTGATACCAGTATAAATCAATTATAAAAATACTTCCTCCTCTCTCTTTCTTTAAATAAACAGTCTGGCCTAACAGTAGTGGAGACACTACAGAATAATTGTGAATGTAATCAATAAAACATTAATCTCTGCATTGACATAACCTCTAAAAAAATTGCTGAAACGTAACACTGATCCTGTGTTAAACTGTCATTAAGTTAAAAAAGCTATTGGCAAAATGTACAAACAGAATCTCATTTCTTCAGTTAATTTTGTGCCAGATATTTCTTTTGGCCATTATTTCTATACACTGATAAGTATTGGGTTTTGGATTTTGTCTTTTTTTTTAATTTTTTTTTAATAGTGTTTAATATTATGCTTATTAAAATATGTGAGTATAATTGAGTAGGATAGTCTGGAATATGTAAATAAATGTTATCTGGTTCCTACCTACGGTCTTTAGGACAAAGACATAGCTTTGTGTTTAAAATTATGGAAAGATGTTTATGCAGTGCTGTGTATTACCTTTGTAACCCATGGGAAAGAAAAACTGTTGAACTGAAAAGCTTCCAGCTTGTAGAATCTTCCCTATTTCCTATCATTAGCTAGACCTGTTTTAAGCAAACACTCTTTGGTCATTAAAATCTGTTTGGACATTTACTTTTAGAAAAATCATTGGACTACTAATTAATGATATTGTTTGATCTTTAATTACTGCATTTTTTCCTCCCTCACATAATACACACAAATGGATTTCTCAATTATCTGACTACATCTAAGATTTGCAGGTGTGGCCTGGAAGAAGGTTATGTTTATATACTTCAAGACATCTTTTAACATATATCTGAGTTTGAACCTCACCGGAAAACATTTCCTTCTTTCATCCTCCCACCTATTTTGCTTTATAATTGTAAATACAAGTAATTTGAAGATAAATATGATAATAGCAGATGACTTATGTTAACAGAGTATGCTGAGAAACTTCGATATCCTTAAAGTAAACCTGCTATCTAAAGATTTTGATAAGGCAGTTGCAGAAATAGTTGTCTGTGTACCATTTTTGAACAATTTTGCAGAATTACTTATATTTGTTATTGTTCCCATGTGTATTTAACATATTTGTACAATGAAGGAGCAACTGTGTCCCGTAGTGGCATGTTTGTATTACCCAAGTAGTGTTCCTAAATTGTATTTTGAACCATGGTATGTAATGAGTTCCAGCAGAAGTAAGCAGTTTTATAATCTGAGCATATAGAGAGCAATAGCCATTCTTCTTTCTGTGATCTCAAAAGTTTTGTTAGATATTGCTGCTGCTTCATAAGATTACTACTCAAACATTACGTAACCAATAGCTTAATTTTGAACTGACATTCTCTCATCAAAATGAAGGAGCCTGAATGCACTGATTATGTCATTTTAACCAGCAGTATCATAAGTAGTTGTGGTTTTCTTTACTTCGGTATGAGCTCCATAACAAGTGGCTAACTTCAGGTAAACATTGTGTCTTTAGGTATACTCAGAGAGACGCTAAGTAAAAGAGGAGTTCGGGTTATAACAGGCATAGGAAAGTATTTCCGACAAGTAGACAAGAACAGAAATGGTTTCCTCTCTCAGGCAGCCTTTAAAGAAGCTCTAAAACTATTCCATTTGGAAATTCCTGAAGGGGTAAGTCTGGCTGAAACTGTAATCTCGGCATTATCTTACTTAAATTGATGGAATCACTTCTTTACTTAAATCTATGGTTTAATAGCTGTTTTTCCCAAGTTTGCTCCCCTCCCTCCCTTGTGGTATAGTGGCATTTCTGCATTCAGTTTTTTTCTTGTGATAATATTGTAATTTCATATTATAGCAATTATTTTATTCTAGGACATAGCGAAGAACTTTGGCAAAACATTTTTAAATTGCAGGACTTTAAATCCCTATGGCTTATTCTTGATGACAGCAAGAGTGGTAAGGTCGACTATGGAGAATTTACTCATGCCGTATTTGGAGAAATGAACGAATACAGAAAAGCGTTTGTAAGAAAAGTAAGTTTTGTTGCAGATATTCTAATTGTAGGTATTTTGCAGTTTAACTTGAGTTAGTTACTGATCATGTTCTTGTTTGTTTTGTTGGGGTTTTTTTGTTATTGTTGTGCATTATGTGCATATAGTAGTTGACATTTAAAGGTTTCAATAAGTTTATCAAAATAAATGTAAATTAAAGTACTGGATGCTGTTCCATGATTGAATTAGTTAATTCTAAACTATAGAATTAATTCCAGTTTTATTTTGAGTTTATGCATATGTATGGTATTCTTACATTTCGGTGCAGTGTATAAAGCATCTGGTACCCTGAAAATATCTCTTCCAGAAGTCTGTTTCCTTATTTTGGCAGATCACTATATCTGTATGCAGATTTTTTTCCCCTTGGTGTCTGAAATAGGAGACAATAATACTTCCCTCCTTTGAGATCTACAATTATAGTCATTATATTTCTGAGACTTCTTGCATTTGAAATGTCCCTTGTTATATGTCTATAACGTAATGTGGAGCCATTTGCAATATGAAACACTAATTACAAGCCAGCCAATAGAGTGCGACTGGATATCAAAATCAAGAAAAATGCCATATACTTTCATACTTTTAATAATGGAGGCTCTGACTCTCCTAGCCTTATGTACTGTGCAATGTGTATCTGAGTAAACTGAAACGAAAATGAAGCTGCTGTTAGCAGTGCTGAAGAGGCTCTGTTGAGGCCTCTGTCGGAATGACACAAGAATCTTGGTAACTGGAGGAGACAGAAGAAGTTTGAATTCTGATTCTAAGGATAAGTTAGAAATTTTGGAGAGAAGACGAATTTTTTTTTTGAGTTGGTGAGGGGACCACATTTGATGTGAAAGCCTTTGAGATAAGATAATCATTAAACTACATATTCTAGAGTAATTTTCTGGTATCTGATGCCTTACGTTAAATCAGTAAATTGACATAATACATTGCACAAGATCTAAAAATATGTGCTAGGTAGTAAGTATATTTGATCTTTACATCTTTCCACTTTTTCTCCTTTTTTTTTTTTTTTTTTTCCTTGTCTTTCCTTTATAGGCTTATATGAAACTAGATTTCAGCAAAACTGGGAGTGTGCCTATGGTAGATATCAGAAAATGCTACTGTGCAAAGAAGCATCCTCTAGTATTGGCAGGTAATTCACATCAACAACAACAACAGAAATACGTAACTACTGAAGTCATCTTGTTAGCAGAGATACCAGATCCAGAAACTGGTTGCAAATACAAACTGTTTTCATACTGGCTCATACTTGAACTGTTAGGGAAAACTTTTTTCCTCTGATGACCGCTAATGTGTCTATCTACAACATGACTATAAATAGTAACGGAGTACATATACACAATTTTAACACTTGCTTTTTATCAAGCTGAAAATACTGCATATATGCAGAGTAGTTCCTTTCCCTGCATGTGTAGGATTACATTTAAGCAGCTATTTCTCAGCTTGGGTGTACAAGTTACCAGTGACACATATGATACTAATAGTTTTCACTTGGGAGGATACTTTCATTTTCATATTACTGTTTTCCATCAAAATATGCAACATTTCCAACTGACACTGAATATATTCAGCATTTAGAGTTCATTCTGAATAAATTCATTTATTTCTGGGACAGGATTGTCATAGTTTAAAGAGGAAATGTTGGTTTCTTCATTATTTTTTCAGGATTCTCAAAAATGTTTAAACTCTGCCATTGAAAAAGTGGGAGTTTAAATATTTGTTTGTCAGTTTCTAAAATAACATCTCTGTGTACCCAACTCATCATTGTGAAAGTCTCACTAGTGTCCTGACCCTTCCTGTTTTACCTGTTAGAAGAAAAGATGGGTTTTGTATTGGCAGTGATTTTAATGGTAACAAATGAAGACATACGGTGGTATAGGGATGTTCTGCATACAATTTTTCCGAGTACTGTAAAGCTACATTTTTCCTTTCTTTGTTTCCTTTTTCTCAATGCTATGAAATCGTGTTGAGTATAATCTTTAAGTCGCTAGAACACACATGTAAATTGCAGAACACTTTTTTGAATGTAAACTTGCATCTTAAGTTTTTCCTCGTGCTTTGTACTTGTACTACATTAAATATATGGTTTATTACAAGAGAACTTCTGAATTCAGAATTAAAATTCTAGTTAACAGATGCATTATTCAGTTTTTGCAGTAATTTGAAAGAAAAAATCTTCACGATCTCATAATTAGTTGAAATTAGTCTCATGTTTCTGCTGATACTTAATGCTATGATGTGCTATTAAAGTAAGAGGATTTCTGCAGCTGGTATTAAGCGAGCCAATGACTTAATTCTGAAATCAGAGTATTTGTTCAAGAAAAAATATTTGCAAGCTAAAATGTGAAAGTTTCTTGCCTGAAGTATATTAAATTCTACGTATTCACTGTTCTTGAAAATGTATTTAACAGAAAAATATACTTTCACAGGCAAAGCTACAGAAGAAGAAATAAAATCATCATTTCTAGAAACATTAGGGGAGTCCTGCAGCAACCCCAATGAAGTGTCCTATTCTGAGTTTGAAGATTACTATGAAGGATTAAGCATTGGAATCATGGATGATGATGATTTTGTTAATATCTTAAGAAACCCTTGGGGAATTTAGGGTGGAAGATGACAAAAATGAAGAAGAGACTTTTACTAAATAAGGAATCAGCTAAATAAGGGAGGATCTAGTCTTGATGTGCATTTCTTCATAATTAGTGTCTTAAACTGATTTCAGGCACTGAAAATTTTAGCTGCTTGCAGAATAATAGATGGCAAGTTTCTTAAAGTGTCCACTGAGTCATGCTAACCACTTTTGAAATTTATAAATGCTATTCATTCCTTTTCATTGGAAACAATGAAGACTGTTTCCCATACCAAAAGGCATAATTTACTTGATACTAGAATGAAATGGCTTATTTTAAAATAAGGAGTAATTAGAATACTAAAATTCATGAAGGGGTATATGTAGGAAAAAATTTAGTTCCATGATGCATTGTGAAAAACTTTAGATTTAACTGTGTAAATATCAATGGTGTTTTTTCTTCAGAGTTTTCTTCTTATAAAAATAATATGTTTATTCTTATAGCATACCTTGTCTCGTTTCTTGTTTCTTATGCTGGTACTTAGCTTGAAAGAGAGCAGGTCATCCTTTTCCAATTTTGAGGATGTCTGCAGTACTCAAAGTGCAGAAGTGTTGACACCATTTAGCCCTTCGGCCTGTAGACCATCTTGATCTTATTTTTTCATCTTTGTCAGACATCTGAAGCTTAGCATCAAATCCCAAAGGTTTCAAGGAGTACACATATATTTTGTAATGCAGTTATTTCTTTCCTATATTTTGCTAGTGGTTTTCAAAACAAATAATTTATATTTAAATATCAGGTTTCTTTATTTTCTATTGCTGTGGGTTTTAAAATTTTTTTTTAAGTAAAACTTAGCAATGATGTCTGTTGCCAAACTGATATATAGCATTTCCTATCTACTCTGAAAGTAGAGAAAACAAAAGTGTAAAAACAAAACCCCAAACCTAACCAAACCAACCACCTCTGTCAGCAAAACCACCAACCAAAACAAGAAAAATAAAATCGTGAATTAAAATATTCCTTGCTATGCCAAATATTCAGCCAGATACGCTTTTCAATGTAATACATCTCATTAATTCTGTAAAATTCTTTGTGTTAGGAAATAAAAACTGTATTATTAATTATGTAGAGAGAGAGATATAGATGGCCTTTGGTTTCAATATACCTGTCACCAAAATTAACTGTAAATTGAACTGCATTTCTTAAGCCTATGCAATTAAAATATATTAGTGTCCTCTGTGCTTGTCTGCCTGGTTTTGAATTTATAGTCTGTGGTTAACAGAATGTTCCTCTGAGACAGAATTTAAGGGCAGGGATGAAATGAATGCTGAAATGAGGGACTGTAGTCTCTCTGTGGCTGACTGGTTTATTCTAGATAGAGCTCTTGTGCTAATAGCTTCTGCGTTGTTTTGATTGTTTTTACCCTGTCTTCAGTTGTAAGTGGGATTGCAGTTTCTGCTCTAAATCCTCAAGTGAGGGATTTTAGGGGGTTCTTTTGGAGTAGCAAAAGTCTATATGTGTTGGTTTACAGAGAAAGGCAAAGTCTGTCAATGCTTATTTTAAGCAAGAATTCTGATGTGGCTCATTAGGATTTTCTTGCTCCCCATTCCTGCTAGAATTTCTCTTGCTGGAAGGATTTTGTTAATTAGTGTTCTTGGAATTGGTGATTCTGAGAAAGGTAATTTCAGCTGGGTTTACAGGGATCTGCTTGTTAATGTGTCTGTCCAAATAACTGAAATATACTAAGTGCCATTTTTATTAGTTTTTCGAAGAATCACCTGCTCTGTTTAGACTCGTGCACTTAGGAGAGTTGTACCAACATATAAAGCTGTAGCTCAATTTCATAAATGTGAAAGTGATTGTGAAATGAGGTATTGACACATTTCTTTGTGCAGTGCTTAATTTTATTGTGGTGCTTTTAGGTAGATTATTCTGTGTTATCTTAAGGAGTGGAAAAACTGATGACAAGTGGATTTATCCTTATTGGGTGGGCCTGCTGTATAGGTCACGTCTGCTCCAAATTAAGTGGGTTTATTTGGTTCTTATCATTAAAATTGTGTGCTATTATTAGTTCCATAGCCTTAGTAGCCATGCTATTTTATTCTTAATCTGAAGGTAGATCCTTAACAGAATAAGCTGTGATAAATTCTAAAGGTCAGAAGTCGCCTGAAAATACAAGTAGGTACTCTGGTAATTATGTAAGACCTTCTAGGTATGTGATTTCTATTAACTACAAGGTCAGTTATGCATCAGTGGCTGCTTCAGACCATTAGGTATGATGTCTATTGTGAATTTTTAACGGAGTTCACACATGTCCCTTTCCATCTGGCCACTATTCTCATTGTCTAAACTTAAGATGGTGACATAGAATTCCAACCAGCTTCCACTCAAGGCTGTCCCACCATGCTTGCAGTTAGTGAGAAAACACAGAAATTGTGTTCCAACCAGGGTCTGCAGTGTCTGGCTTCTTTTCATTGATAGTGGTCTCAATACCCTGATGAATTGCATTCTGATTTGCTCTTACTTACTTGTAAACATTTGAATCTCTGTAAACCTGAATCCTTTTCTTTGATCAATGCTTTCTACCTGTGAACCTGTCTGGAGTGTCCACTGGGTTTTCTACCTTTTAAATGTGTTTCAAACAAAACTTTTCCTGCATTTATTACCTTTCTTAGAGTTGTCCCTGTTTTCTGAATTAGTTAGAAATGGTGGTTTTGGAGAAGCTGGCTAGCTTTTTTCCTGAAAGTCACTGCTTAATAAAGGTAGTTGTCTTCATGCCACCCTGATTTACACTTCCGCTAAAAAGTCTGAGCAACCCACTATAATTGAGAATATCAGAAGCGCATTATGCTGCCAACATATTTTATACTATTAGATGCACACGCTCCCAGAAGACAAGTGGAAATTAATGAAGTGATGTAACTCCTCATTCTCCAGGTCTATGACCACTTCATCAAATGAATATATACTGGCAATGTTACCTGGAATATTTAAGAGCATTTGTAAAAACCAAAACACAGACACATGTGAAAACCTTCGGTAGCTTCACTTTGTCAGCTAATGGAAATACGGCACCTTCACCTGGGAGAGATTTGTTGCTGAGACAAGGTATTCTTCAGGATTCACACCCACAGACTTCCTTTGTTGCCAGGAGTCTTTGCCAGATGATCAAATTTTATGGGTCTTTGGGGCCACAGAAGCAAAAAGATTAAAAATCTATCTCCTGATGTGTGTTTGTAATGGAGGTGCTGTTAAGTTTTGGGGTTTCGGGTATTTTGGTCTTGTGGGGGTTTTACGAGTTTGGTTATTTGGTTTGTTGGTTGGGTTTTTTCTTTTTTCTTTTTTTCTATTTTTTGAGCATGATGTCCCTAGATGGGAAAAGAGAAAGCCTAGAAGTGATTTCTTACGTGTTGGTCTGTTAAGTCCATAGAAAAACAAAGCAGGTTTTTCTGTGGCAGAAAAAGGGAAGGTAGAAAATCACATGCTTTGTTTTCTGGATATTACTCTAATAATTTAGCCTTCCTTTACTCTTCTTCTTCTGCTTCATGCTTTTCGTACTCTGAGACTGAGATAATTCTGTGCTTGCTTTTCATGTTGTTAACTGTCTTTTTGGGAAGCTGAGTTGAATGGACTCTGGTAATCATGAGGCATCTCGTGATGAAAGAGGCAAGTAGAATTTCCTTACAGACTTATTTAGGCTAACTTTTCCACAGAGAACATTTCAAAATATTAACCAAACCAGAAGGTACTTAGGAAAGAAATGTGGTAAGAAGGTAACTACATAATGACCCTTTGTAATACTTTGTTTTGTGGCTCTTATACTTTTGTTGCACACCTTTTTGATCATGAGGAGCTGGAGGCTTAAAGACGAGCAAGTAACCTCGAGGAAAAATAACAATAATCTGTTTATCACAAGTTTCTTATGTTTATTACATCATCTGCTGTGGTTACCTGGAATTTATAGTATCTGGGTATCTGTTTTCTGGCTTCTTTTCTCCTCAGTCAGGTGTTCCAGTTTGAATGGAATTAATTGGATTTGTGCACGGAAAGTCCTGTCTTTGTTGCTACTGGCAGAATTTTGTGTTTCCAGCATCCTTAAAAGAAGCAGCTTTAAAATAAAAGTAATGGCAATTTCTTTGTGGATTGATTTTGTTGCTGCATTCTCAAAAAAGACATTTAATATTTTAGGATTTTTGCTGGCTTGTGTATTTTCTAGCTTGTGTTTTCTGACCTTTTGCTGTCATTTCCCCTCTCAGTTTTAGGAGAAAATAGGAATCTGAGAGACTAAGGAAAAGGCAGAAAAAATGGTATTTCGAAGGCGTGCTGTCTAGGTATCTAACTAATGAGTATTCTTCTTATAGAAACCTGGCACAGCTTTCAGACTGCCCTTTTGAGTAATCTCAAAGAACCTCTTTGATGGACTCCTTCCAAGTAGGCAAAAACTTAAGAGGTTCTCCTCTTAGACAGCTGGGAGAGGTGAAGGTACCTGCTTTGGTCCTGGTGCTGATGCCTGCCTGCTTTGCTGCAGGACTCTTTTATGAATGCTGCAACAGTGGGCTCCTTTTTGTAACCTTTGTTGGGAGAGGCTTGTGAGAAGGAGACTGCTTGCAGTCATTTAGCTACCTACCAATGTGCCAAGCTAGAACACGAGGACTGTACTGTGGAAAAGCTGCTCTTCATAGCAACTTCTCAAAACATCAGCCACTTAGTACCATCCCCATCCTTTCACTATATTTCCACTTTTTGCTGCAACTCTGATGTAGTTTTAAGTTGGGAGTGAAACTCGGCAGGAGCTGATTAATTCGGGTTTTAAAGGGCTCTGTTCCAAGAATAACTCCTGGTGTTCTGGTGTCCTCTTTTTATCTGTCCCATTTCCAGGGTGGTGGTTGGTACTTCTCATCATGTTATTTTGAGAGTTTTGGCCAAGGCCGTCACAAAACTCAGTTTGGGAGGAACATGCCATGGGTGATGCGTGCTTCCCACACCTTTACACTTCACGTGGGGAAAACCCTAGGCTGTTACAGGGAAGCACAGA